ACCTACCTTTGCTTAGAATTCTCATCCTTGTAAGAAATCTTGTAAAAGCCATAGTATGTATCTGATAAATTAGATGAATATTCCAAGTTGACTGTGTAATTCTGTCCTGCAAGGAGAGACTCAGGAGCCATGACTGCAATCTGATCATGCAACGGATATTCCAGCAACTCAACTGCCTTTTCTTGACTTCCTCCTGATGTAGTAATAGTTGCCTTGGTGATATTTAGCCCTGAGCTGTGAAGCACAATCTTCTTAGTTACTTGGGTGACATTAACCACTATTTTCACAGAGCCTGTAAATTTCAGGGTAGTTAGGTTTGGCTGCAAGTCAAGATCATAATGCAGTGGTACAACATCAGAAGGAAGTCTTATTTTTGCCCATGGAAACAGTTTTCCATTGGTTGCCAAAGGGTATATTAGTTCCATTGTACGATTTTTTTTATGGCAGCCTTCTTTGGTAAAGGTACATTTGGGAAGAAGATAAATCACCATTATCACTGCAACTGCAATCACAAGAACACCAGTGCAAACCAGCAGGGTCCTCATAGAGGGCACTGAGCAAGAACCATCTGGACTTTGTCTATAGACAGACATGTTATTCCGGAGACCCGAGCTTCTGTTAATGAAGGACATCCCCAGCAGTTTTGCTGATGACTCATAATCCTCTTCATCATCATCCATTTCATGCTCCCCAAGGCCACGCACTAAGAGCCGTGAGCTTCTTGGTTCGTATTCAACTTCATCAGGCTCCAGGGGGTGTAAACAGGGCTCTTTTGCCAAGTCAACAACATCAGGCTCTTCCTCAAACATACTGTTTTCAATCATGTTCCTGGGTAGCTGAATCTGATCTGAAAAAGAAAACAGAATATGCTACATCATAAACAAAAGATGCAACACTTCAGTGACAGATCATTGAGGTAAAAAATGGGAAAAGCTTTCACTGCATATACTATCATTTTACTTTCCTGATTTGTTTCCACTAAAGCCATGTTTCTCTGCCTACTGCAATTCTTGTTTCAGTATCTTGTCCCTTTCTGAACTTCAAGAAGATGCTTCCGTTGCACATACTCAGTTGTCTCTTGTATCATAATTGGGAATCAGTTACATCACTGAATTGTACTTCCAGCTCACTGATACCATTGCCTCAGTTGCATTATGTCTACCCAAATAATTCTCCCTGTATTCAGCTACACTAGGTATGACGGAATAGTCTCTATGTTGCAGGGTGAAGAATAGGCAACCAGAACAGTTCTAATGGTGTTTCTAAGATTGCAGTTCTAGAGTTCCTGTTAGAGGACAAGACCTGCTGACATATTAGCAGCTACACAAACAAAATATTCATTTTACACTTTCAGAATTAATTTTTTACACATAAAAAAACCCTCAATTTCTTACATGGCAATGGGAAGATGACTGTTCAAATCAATCATTTAAGATCTAGCTTGCACAACCCTCGAAACTGTCTGGGCAGGTAAGAAGTTAAGTCAGAGCCAATAAGACAGTTAGTCCCCATAATTTTTTTCCATAAGACTTAACAGATCACAGAATATAAACCAAAAGTTTAAACTGCTTTCAAGTTTATCAGATACCCTCATATTCCACATGTAGTTTTATTTTAAGCAAACTTTTGATTGTGTCTGTAAAAAGTAATGTCATATAGAAAGTTATCTTTCAGCTAAGCCACCCAGTGAAAGTGGTGAAGTTAGAAACACTGATGGGAAGAAGCGCATACAGGTTATTGGACACAGAGACAAAAATTGCTATATCAGCAAGGAGGTTATTTTTCGTAATGTGTTTCATCTAGAACATTATAAGCAACATAGAAGGAAGTTGATTGTTTTTTCTTAGGGCACCATAGAGCTGTCTGAAGAACAAAACAATTCAATTGGAAAAGACATCTATATGGAGATTTCTCATACCGAATGTCCAAAAAATCTCATTAACTTTTCAGGCCCTTGCAATCTAGTCAATATGAGTTAGTCCCCTATCACAGCCTCAAAGAGACTAAGCAAAACTTCGAACAGCAAGGCGTCACATATGAAGGTCTACTGCTAGCTGAAATGTCCTTGAGAAAATTGCTCTCTGCAACAACTTAAAATATCACTGTCATCATCACTGCTCTCATCCTAAACTCAAATCATACCAGCACTCCCAACACTATAAAGAAAATTAACTCTATTCCAGAGGAAAACAGCATACATATCTTCTAGTTTGGAACACAGTTTCTTTCCTCAGTGTTTCTGGTTTTTGCCTCCCCTCTCCTGAGCCAATGGCACACTTTGCAAAGTGCAAAGCTGCAAGCCAATTACCCCCTGTGACTGTACTGGTTCTTACATGTGTCTGACACAATGGAGTTTCAATTTTGCCAGAGCTTTCAGTGAATACTGTGACAAATGCAATTCATCATCAATGTTCCAGAAGCAGGCATTCAATGTTTTCTACACAATTCCATAAGGCATACACTTAATAGTTATAGTCTTGGTCAGTCAAATGTATCCTGGAACTCAGTTGCATTAACATGATTAATGTGCCTGTATTTACATGTGGAACAAAACTGCAGCCTCTTGATAGATTCCAGAGGAAAAAATAAATAATAAAAAAAAAAAACTTTAACTGAAAAGAATATATACTTTAACCATATATTTTTAAAAAAATGCTTTATTATGCTTATAAAATATCACCCAACAAAAGCTGTACAAGATTTCTTAAATTTGGCCCACAGAGAACTGATTTGCAGCAGAGTAAGCAAAGAATCCCTGCTGCTATTCCTAATGTGGTGCAGACACAGCTCTGGAACACAGCAGCTCACCAGGATAGCAGCACTGGCATAACTCTTGCAGTTCTTAAGCAACACTCATGTTGTATGGGAAACCTACGCAAAATCCTAATGGAAACCTTTTTCTTCAGTAGCTCAGGCAAGCAATGGTATTTCAGGATTCACGCCCAACCACAGAGGAAAGGGGAACTAGACAGTTTGCATAAAAGTGAATTCCTCATCTGATTCCCAGCCTTGAAACTTCCCAAATTGCTCTATGCAGTGATAAGCAGGACACATTCTACAGATGACAAGTCTAACTTCCTAGACTGAAGCATCCAAAACCTCATAAGTACACATTAATAGGTGCCCAGAAACATAAAAAACAAGCAAAACCTTTGTTACGAAATTTGCTCTTTAAAAACACACTATAATCTTCACCACTGGAGTGGTGCACAGGCAAAAATTTAAGTCACTTATTTTCCGTTCTTTTGCTCAGTGTTTCACACTGAAGGGATGGTACTTATGGCCATCGCTTGAATACTGCATTACGTTACTTCTTCTAGTGGATAAGTATCACTATGGTATAAGAAGGGATACAATTCAATAAAGCAACACTTCTTAAAAACAGAGGTTTTCCAGGGAGCACAGCAGACAATTTTAACTTACAGTAATTTTTTATAGAAGAAAAATGAAGTCATATACACTGTATTATTTGATTGTAACACAGATGTAATCTTGGCTGCTTCTACAATTCTAGCTTCAAAGAGATCTCTCCTTCGACAAATATGAACAAATTTCATATTACTGATCACAAATAAAAACAAAATAACCTCAAGCTGGTAACACTAATCTAACAAAGATATCATCAGACTTAAAAGTGGTGTAGTGAATGCACCTTTACTCTCAGGAAGTAAAATCTCTAAAATTTGCTTCAAACTGCCACATCTCAGTTTACGATCATTGCTTCCAATCACATCAGTTTAGTTCTTCCTCCCAAAATGTAAACTACCTCCTTTACAGCTATGCTTTGAGCTGTCTCCAATTTTCTGTTAAATATATATATTACGTGTTTGTTGTTTAAGGGAAAAAAAAAAGACAAGAAAACTCAATTGGTCTTTCAAATCAGCTTGTTCAGCTGGTAACAACAACCATCAAATTCTGACTGAAGTTTTACTCTCTTCTAAGCATCTGTTACATGCATTTAAATTCTTCTTGAGCAAGAAATTATAAGTTAGTGCTATGCGGAGCAATTATCTGCTGTTATTAAAATAGGTAGGCACACAATGTTGTTCACGTAAATTAAAATCAGCATCTATCCACAGAGAGGAAACATACACTTACAACAATCAACCAGCTTAGAAATAAGACAAACACCTGATGGTATTTTGGGAAAATCAGAAATCCTACTTGAAATCATTTTGCCTTCATTCCATCATCATTTATTTCACTTACCAGCTTGGAGACTGAACAAAGAGAATGGAAGTCTTTATAAAAAGAAAAATGACATGCAACACAGCATACCTGAGAACAAGATAAAATCAACCAGCCAAAATTTATAGGTCACATCAGAAAACCAGTCTGTCAAAAAAATTGCAGTTCCCAGCCCTACTAGTTGTTTGTGCAAAAAGCAGCACTCAAATATCCCCCATGCACTCACATGCACACAGCAGCTGAAGTCCCCAGCACCTACGAGATCTCCAGAAGTACAACTGGGGGGCTCAGCAGCTGCAGCACAATTAGAGTTCAGCTGAAGCACCCTTCTCCAGACATGGAGGTTCCCAAAACCAAACCCGCAGTCCCTTCACAAAGAATGGGATAAGGCTTGTTGGGTATCCCAGATCTGCTACTCTTCTTCACCTGAATGCAGGTTTATACCCCCATCTTCCACTTGTGGGAGGAAAATCGTGAACTGACAGCTCCTTCAGAAATGACGAGTTATCCTCAGACAGAAACACGATCAGCACCAGTGCTGCGCATGAGATTGCATGTGCTCATTAATGGTCCGTGCCAGCTTTCTCATTATAAATAGAACTAAGGCATGACTGTAAACATTTGCTTTGGATGGAAATATCTATGGAAACATTACGTGCCCTGTTCTGAATTTTCAAGCTCCATGTTGTTTTCAAACACTGCGCAGCAAAGCAAGAGACACAGGAAGCATTCAGAACTGGACATGAGAGAGCGAGCTTGAATCGCTTCAAAAATGGATTATGGATTTTACTCACTAAAAACAGGGTCTTACATGATTTTCCAGACTCCCGTGAGTATTTTAGTTGGCTCCACAGCAATTAACGCTTACAGTTAAGAGCTACTGAGCCAACAAAAAATGACTGGTTCAGTTAGGTGAGAAATATGGTGCAAAATTCAAATAACAAAGCAGAAATGCAAGTCCCTCCTGAAAACAGTAAAATAAGATAGGCCCACAGAAATCCCGTATCAGAATAGCAGGCTGGCTGTCCAAATGTACCTATTGCTTTGTGTATACATAATGAAATATCCTGAAAGCCACTACTAAATGAGCATCTCCTCTGTCTGGAAGACAATGAATATCCAAAAGTCACATCACGACAGCCTGCCAAAAAGCCCTGAAAGTTAAGCCCTGATGACTAGTGAGAGCTGCACACAGAACTCCCACTTAAGGACTTTATGCATTGATTACTGTGTTTCCTAGCAGACTAACAACAGCACCCTGCAACAGTTTGTAAAGTACACCGCTTTGCTTCATGATGCTTTCAGCAGAGACAGTTACAGAAAGAGTCACAAGCTAGCACAAAACCAAACACAAACGAAGGAGTGGTGAAAATGATGGAAGCATGTACCACAGCAACATAAAGAATGTCAGTGCACACGCTGCGCATGATGTAAATATACCAACTGTTTTTATTTAAGGAGAAAAACGAGAGAAGGAAAGCACATCAGAGTTAAATGTATGACACTACTACTCCGAAGAGATCATATCTGAATTTCATGACATTTGAAATCCAGTCTCAGATTTAACATGACACTAATGTAACCTTCATAAATAGCATAGCAAGTTCTTTGTTTTCAGCAGGCACAGCTCAGAAGCAACTGGCAATGAGCAGGGACAACCTAATAAAGAGCTCACATACACACAGTGTTACGTTCATAATTTAATTTTCTCTTGAATATGCATAGTTGACAAAACTACAGAAGAAGAGATTTAATCAATACCCAGAAGAGATTCTACTCCCCCATATGTTACCAACCACCTGTATAGAAGCCATGAGGTCAGAGTTATATGTAATAAGTACTCTCTAAGGAGTAACCCTGATGACTGCTACAGCATACATACACCTCTGAACAATCTCAAATCTTGACTCACCTTGGAAAAATAACTACTGTTCACTGCAAACTTGAAACTATTTCCACTTAACAACGTTAAGTCCAATGTTCCAGACTTCTCTGCTCTGAAGCAAGCTTCACTTTGGAAATTTCCTAGTTTTGGCTAGGCTTGAATTAGTTTTCTTCACTGTGTCCAGCATGGCCACGTTTGGATTTGTGGCCACAATAGCACTGACAGCACGCCGATGTTTAGTTGCTGCTGAGCAGTGCTGCCCAAAGCCACAGATGTTTCAGTATTTCAGCTTCTTGTACTATCTGGCCAGCAGGAGGAGCTGGGGGGCACAAATTGCTAGCAGGGAACCTGGACAATGCTCTCAGATACATGGTCTGATTTTTGGGTAGTGCTGTGTGGAGCCAAGTTGGACTCGATTATCCTTATGAGTCCCTTCCAACTTCCGAGATTGGATGATTCACAGCAATGGTGTTTCTCCTCCAAAGCAGCCAAGCTGCATGATGAACCCAGTCATCCCACCTGATGAAAGGAATTCCTTCTCCAGCTTTGCTTACACAGGTACTTCTGCTTCACCCAGCAAACTGCCCACAACGTTGCAAAAGCTTTCCTCACTGCCAAATGCAGCCTAGCTGCCTGAGGGGTCAGACCACAGCAGAATTTCTATCTGCTGGTAAAAATCAGTGTACAGGGCAAATATCCTTCAGTTTTGAATGAAGAAAACCACAAGTATTTCAGCTTGCAAGTAAAAAGCTTCAGGTGTGAAAAGTATTTTGCATTTGTTAATATTTTATTTTCAGGAGAAAAATCTTTTTGAAGAAACAGAAACAAGATACGTTGGTACAAGGCCATGTGGCCATTTCCTGTCTTAGATTAATGAATTCAGAAGGCAGAGAGGAATAATGCAAGAGAAGAAGCACAGCCAAGAAGCATTTGGAAATCCAACATATTACTACAGAAATTCCAGAATCACCCATATGCCTTGGCTGCTTTTTGGAGACTGAACAGAAGCAATATGTAGGCTAACAGCATGTCCTTACCTCCCATGATGCTACAAGAGTACACATATTCATTTTTAATACACCAAAAACAAACACCTGAAAACACAAGCTTATGTACTTTTACATAATGAACATAGTCATCTAAGAAAGAGAAACAAAACCATTTGTGTTTTGAGCCTAGAACAAGACTTGCAGTCCTCCTAAAATTACCGTGTATAGAAAGCAAAATGGCACACACTAACACAGACAGAAGCAACTTTAATAAACTAACATAAAATTAACCTCTCTGAAGACAAATGAGCATTTTTCTGTCATAGCTAAGAGCTCAGCGCTCTTCATTCACACAGATAAAGATGTTTCCATTTTGCAGAGCCATAATAACTGCAACAGGCTCTGTTGCTTTTTGCTGTGCCATTACTGAAGTATCAACCCTCTGTGCAGTTTTACTGCAAACTTTCACCAAAAGATATGCATTTCAGGAAATCTATCCAAAACCAAAGCACTGGCAGTACATCCCAGCAATGCCACTGTGGAAGGGTTTGATTTCAGTAGACAAGTAAGGCTACAGGGGCAGTCAAACTGGTAGACATTGCCAAAAATATTTGTAGTTACACATATTTCACTGTTTCCTCAGTTAGGTCACAATGGGATCACAGAATCACAGGGGTTGGAAGGGACTTCAAGAGAACATTGAGACCAACCCTAGGTCAAAGGGTTGCCAAAGCTAGGCCAGGTTGTACAGATAGGCACCCTACTGGTCTTGAATATCTCCATAGAAGGACACTCCACGAGCTCTCAGAGCAACTTGTGCCAGTGCATCATCACCTTTATCACAAGGAAGTTCTTCCACATGTTAGTATGGAACATCCTATTAGGCCACTGTTTCTTGTCCTGTTCTTATGGAGCACTGAGAGGAACCTGGCCATTCATTTGTCTCCGACCTCCCATTAGATATTTATAAACATTAATCAGATATCCCCTCAGTCTTCCCTAGGCTGAGAAGACCCAGGTCTTTCCATACATGGGAGATGCTCCAGGCCATTTAACATCTTTGTGGCTCTCTCTCTGCTGGACTCCAAGGAGATTCCTGTCTTTTTTCATCTGGGGAGCCCAGAACGGGATACAGTACACCGGATGTGTCCTCACCAGGGCAGAGCAGAGGATCACCTCCCTTGACCTGCACTCTGGGATACCACTGACCTTCCTGGCCACGGGAGCACACTGCTGGCTCACAGCCAGGAAAAACGAAGGGAAAAAAAAAGTCTAAACTGAAGTAATAATTTGGTCCCATACTAACTAATTTCAGCTGTTTTCCCTGTATTGTAAAAGAGGACAAATCCTGCTTTCCAAACCAAAATAAGCAAGGGAACATAAGATACAAGCCATACAAGGTCTCTCTATATTTGATATCCTGCCTGTACTGGAAAGAGTACTTTTGCTGCTTTTTATTATTATTATTATTATTCCCCCTTAGGAATTATGAGAACAAATATTACAACAGCAAGCTCCTGCACGTACATTCTGCCAACAAGACTGGACGATGGAAATTAAAACAATACACGGTTATGTATTTTCAAACCATCTCTTATCTTAAATTGCCATATGAAGCAAGAGCTAAGAGTGTAATCTTATTTAAGCAACTGTTTATTAGTCTTGGGTGCTTCTAAAAGGTTTCCTCAAACTCTTTTCCTGGTTTTTAAGGAAAGCACAGATGTCTTTGGCAAGCTTTAGGGCTAAAGAATCACATGGTTCAATTACATTTCAACATCTGCCAATACAAAGTTCTAAGTGGACTGATACACTATTACTGGCATGTCATTACAAATTATTACTTTGACACCATCCATTAAAATAAAACATTATGAAAGATACAGAGAAAGGTATCACTGAACCCCTTAACTAGTAAGCTGGGAGCACCCTATGTTACTTTTTTCATAACTTTCCCTGGAGGCCAGTGGGGATTAGTAGAGAATTTAAGGCTCTGCAGTACAAGCTCAGTCTGAATCTTTATATCCAAAATAGGCATATCACATTCATTCACATTTTGTGGAATGTTTCTGGTGTTTTTAAATGACACTGCTCTTTAGGCACTACTGAGAGAGAAAACCCTATAGAAGTCCAACAGCATCAAGTCAGCATACTATCCTCAGTCACTGACTGGACATCACACAGGAGAACAGCGGGAGAGCTTCAAACATTAATTTTATAGAAATGATTTTAGTTCCCAGTGTAATCAAGCACATCTTTTGAAATTAAACTGATATAAAAAGATTTAACCACAGGGTCTAACAAAAACAAGCCTTGGAGACTCCTGGAAGCTGAGTCAAATATCCTGAGCCACTGAAGCTCCCACAGCCAGGACTGCTGACTGTTTCCCAGACTGCAGCTGTCTGATGAACATCAGCTATGGCTGATTAACACCAGGCTAGTCATAGCTAAAGATACAGGAGATTCCTCTGTTAGCATCAGTTCTGTTGAACAAAGTAAGAGAAGTTTGTAAATCCTTCTTATGGATTGTTAGGCATATTATAAGACTGCATACAATCTGATGCTGCTTAGCTACATTTTTTTGTTTGTTTTTGCTATGTTTTGTGCTCTTATGCTTTAAGCAATACATTCAAACTGTCATCTTGAGCAATTTCTAGAAAAACCACCATATGTGCCTTACAATACATGCTTAATGCGCATTTGATAATTCCTAAAATATACTGTACAATAAAAGCATAATAAAGTCATAAGCAAGTAAATTTCTTTCAGACTCATTTTAAGACAAAATCAAGCACTCCGACCAAAAAAAAAAAAAAAAAAAAGGCACAGTGCCTGCACAGCAGCTCAAGAAATACCAAGATCTAAAATGCTCCAAAGCCTCACACAGCTGTCACATACTCACATCAGTTGACATCAGTCTTGTGACAGCTGGGAAGGGGCAGCCCCAGAGCGTCAGGCACTTTCCTGATTTCCAGAGGGATCACCTCTGTCACTCGAGCAGGTGGAGAGCTGCTGACTGTGCAGCCCATTGGGTAAGCATGCCTGCAGAGTCTGTTGAAGGTCTCTGCAGAAATATCAGCAGGGTCACTCCAGAGCCTGCCTTGCTGGGGCTTCGACCAACACACATTGCTTTGCGACTGCTCTGGGTTACTCTGACCAGAACTGCCATACCCTGTCTCCATCACTATCACTGGATGTACACAAATTTCAAAACACAAACTGTTGCCAAGAGAAGGACGAAAGACACAACAGGGGAGAGTGGAGGAGGAGGGAAAAGAAAAAAAACCAGATGACCCTCAGATCCTTTCTAGACAAAACACACTTTGATTCACCATTTTTATTTAGAAGAATTTCTGTAAACCACAGCTCTGCCACTGGAGCATCCACTTACAAGAACACTTCAGTTCTGCTGCACAAGTTTCCCTTTCATTGACTTTAATCTCACAACCACTATTTTTGCACATGAAACATTACCATGCTATTGCCCACTCTCTTTGTGAGAAATGTCCATGTTTGGCGAAGGCATAACACAGAATCTACATATTTATCTTCCAGAGACTGCAAATTAATGGCTGCTTCTGCTTTGCACATCCACGGGGGGGAGGGGAGAAAGAGAAGGGGAGGAAATAAATAAAAATCAGAGGGATGGGTAAAAATATCCTTACAAATACTGCATACTGATATTTAGGATAGCCGTCAATATTGCAGACACCAACCCACCATCACAGCAATAACTGAACCTTTGCCAAATCCACCAGCAGTTGCCAACAAGTCAGACGCTGTGCTAGGGCTAGCTCCATCAGAGCACATAATGCGGAACAAAACGGCTTTCCCAGCACTGCAATGCAGATCACTGTCAAACAGCACCATAACCACAAAAGACAGATATGAAGGAAGATTTGTTTCCTCAAATTGTTTCTTTTCTTTTCCCAATGTTTAGCAGGTTTGCAAGTTCTGAACAACATTACTATTCGTGTTCCCAGTTCTATTTTTAATTGCTGCAGTGCAATATTTTGTAGTGTTCCCTTCAATTATTTTCCAGCTGTTTGTAGAACAGTAATCACACACATCTGCACACTTAAGAGGCCAGTGCCAAGGCCTCATCAATATGCTTGTAAGTGACTAAGTTGGGTAATAAAACTGACAGCTCACATATTCCATATTCACAGTTGATTTTCTGGGGAACTACTTTTTGTCTTTCTTTTATCTGCCAAAGCTTACAGCTCAGAAGCAATAAGTCTTTTAAGTATTCTGAAGCTTTTAAGACTCCCACAAATACAAGCCTGACTGATCTGGAAAGACTGCTTCACATACATGAAAAACAGTCACAAGTCATTGTTGATATATTAACAATTCATTATTACAGCAGAAAAAAAGTGTCAGATTTTAAATAGAAGAAAGGCTGAAATACAATACAGCACCTGGTGCCAGAGCTGCCAGTAAATAAAGCATGTTCCTGGTGTTTAGCACAGGTGGTTCCCTTTGTAGTCAGTGGCACTGGAAAAAATGTCACACCTGGGCTGAAGTGTTTGCAGAACCAACTCCTGTAGCATCAAAGAGTAATGCAGTCGGGGAACTGCACACAACTACACTCACCACAGAAGAGTGAAATCTTCCAAACCAGGGGAAAAAAGAACACCCAACCAGCTAACACCCCAATAACAGCAAAACAGTAAAAGGCATCTCAGATCTCTGTTGAACTCAGTCTCCTGTCTGCCCAGCTGTGGTGAAGGCCAGGGCAGCAGTACATGAACACAAAGCCTGAACCACCCAGCAGCAACACTGGGATCTTATTTGAACCTCTGGACTGAGACAACACTCAGGAGAGGCTGCAGCCCCAGTGATGCCCCAGGTGGTGGGCAGAGCAGCACTCTTTCATTCCTACCTCTGAGGTCAAATGGATGAGGTTTCCGGGTCTGCTCCCTACCCACTGCCTTCTCCCATCCTTCCTGGCTACAGAGTCCAAAAACTTTCTGCAATTCTTCTAGTTTAAGGTCAACACACTTCTACTATTTAAAGCAGTAGAAAAAATAGTCAAAACGCAGTTATTAGCATGTACAACTCTTAAGAGATGCTCTGAAATACATAAGTCCCAGCTCACAAAAACGCTGGTGTTTTAAAAGTTAATTTGATTTTATTTTAAGGTATTGTTGGACAGAAGTCTTATGCTTACAAATTTCTCTCATAGCCAGAAGAATAATACTGCTTTCCTTCAAAGAAGTCTTAACTTTTTTTTTTTTTTTTTTTTTTTTTTAACATGATCTCTGCTATAATACTTAATAAAAGAAAAATACTGTCCAGTAGACTGGAAACTCACTAAACTTCCTTCACTCGGATCATTGAGTGAAAGAGGAAAACTTTGGTTGACTGAATTCACTTCAACTCATCTTTACAAAAAACAGACATTCACTAAATAGAAGCAAATTTGGCTTCTTAGTAGGTAATTGTTATAATAATGCCATTTAATATGAAAAAGCTGATTAGCTGTTTGTTTAGCTAATCAACGGATTTTATTTTAAGCTGTTATTTAGTTCATTAGCAGACTTTATACTAGCTTTTATTAGGTTTCAACACTTTCTATAGCTGTCATTAAAGGGCTTCATCTAGTGCACATGCATACAGCTAGAAAGAGACAAGAGTCCTGCAACAATTTTCCAGATGGCAGGTACTGAGGTCAGTACATTTTCAACAGTTACGCCTCATTACATATCCCACAGATGTTCAGTGGCTCCATTCATCCTGCAAGCGGAACCTACCTCCTCAGTGAAAAGGCACTAGCAGGATCCACGACTAACATTTACACTCTGATCTTCTGACATTGTTTTAACAGGGCATGAGACTTGCAGCCCCTTTCCAAGTAGCAATGTTGGCTCTCGTCAAAAGGAACACTTCAAGCAGTTCTTTCTCTTCCCCTCATTGTTCTGTCATCATGTCACCTTTCTGCTTGTAACAGGTGCTGGGTCACTCTGTTCAGGTTATGTTGCTAATGCAATGCATCCAGTTCCAAGCTTGTAGTTTACAGTGCCCGCAGAAAAGAGCACACAAGTCTCTGTGTACACACAGGGATGCAGGGACGATCTCTCCTTGCTACACAGACCACACCTGTTTCAGAGCATTCAGTACTAGACGGAGTTCACAGAAATGCAGAAAAAGCAAACAAACACATTCTATAGAGAAAAGGTTCTTGTTTAGCACAGCTGACACAGGAACAAAAGCCACAGATGTTACAACATGGCTTCGTGGAAAAATACCATCTAGCAACATGCATTTTGGCAGTGTAAGACAATGCAGAAACAAATAGGGAGAGAGAATTAGCAATTTTTTCTGTCAGTAATATCTGACTAAAGCAAAATGTTGGGATATGTAAAACATAGGGGGAAAAAACACTGAAAACAAACCTCTTAGATTTTTACCATCCACCATCCTACTACCACAGATTACTCACTCTGCTGTTCAGGACCAACTAATGCAAATGAAAACACAGGAACCTTTTGTGTCAATGACAGACAGCAATATGATATTGACAGTTAAGGGGAAGCATGGTGCACCCATACTTGGGCTACACTCATAGAAGATGCTCCTGCAACCTCTTGCAATGCACTGCTAGACCTATACTACTAAAATAAGAAAAACTATTTCAGAATTGAAAGGAATAAAAAATTGCTGAAATGAATTTTGCAAATTACATTCTTCCACAAATTATCTCACCATATAGCATGGCTTGTTTTTATCCTCTACATAAGCACAGCATTTCCCTCTATGTGAACCTTTTTTTTCACTATCAGTGGGAAAAAAAAAAAAAACAATCCAGCTATGGAACTAGATTTCATTCCAGAGCTTTCATGCGTTGCATTAAAAAGGCCTACAATAATTCTAAAAAGTTAACAAAAGGGATTGTTCTTTGCCTTTTCATATATCATCACAAATCATTCCTTCTGTACTTCCTTGTTTTTGCACATCACCTGTCCTGAGTGTGAAACACTGCGATCTCTCATTTCTGCATTTTCCTTCCACGTCAAATGGGTAGAAAAAAAAGTTTAATGTCCTGTGTATTAAACAGGAAATGGTGAAATGATCTTCTAGAAAACACATACAATCTAAAAGTAAAAACAAAAACTTGCAAAATATCTTGCAATATTGTTCAGAACCTACCCCAAATTACCTAATATATTCCAGTCAGTCAGAATTTCATTTGTTATCAATGCAAACAATTCATTTTTCCACAAAGAAAAAGAAAAAGGTCTATGTAACAAATAACTAGTCAGAATTAATTAATTCTGGTAATTAATTTACAGTCCCCAATTTAGGGGGATTTGAGATCACACACAGAAAAAAATTTTACATGCCATAAGAAGTCTCCTGTGCACTTTTAATCACACTTCAATTACTCACATTTCTGAAAAAGACTTAAAAACAGTTTGTAAAACAGAAGAATTTGCCTCAAAAATAAAGATCCATTAGCAGCAATTCCTGAAACATTTCCTAATTCAGCTATTCCAGGCCCACAAACAGATCTGTGCTGAACTGCTCCTCCAGCACCCCAGATCTCAACATGCCAGGAGCAGAGCTCCCACAAACGGGGAAGGAAGGGAGCAGCCAGTCTGGAGAGCAATGGATTCAAGTCCCCAGAGGGGAGCTTTGGCACGGTGAAGCCAAAGAAGGCACCTGATACATTTTTATTTAAGTTGTCTGTATATTTCCACAAGGGAGACTGTCCATACAAGAGAAATTCAGCACATCCTCTAGCATTTAGACAAAATGACCAGGGTCTGCCTTTACTTTTAAGATGAATTATGGCTGTGTTTTTCTTTACGATTACAGATTACATTTGGATTAGGAAAACGGTGATCTGCCATTTCCACTTCAGTGCATCTGCTGCCTTAAAATACTATTTTAAGATATGCAGCCCTTCTCAAAGCAGCTCAACATCTGTAAACTAAAAGCAGAAACAAACTTCTTGTCACTTTGGCATACAAGCATCAGCGTTCTAAATCCAACTAAAATGTTCTCTAAAAACCTTAAGATACGATCCAATCCCTCTGTTTAATATGGAGAAAAGCCTCAAAGGGCACAAGAATCATTCTGAGCTTCCTGTGATAACCATCTTCTGAGTTCAAACAGCACCTTGCACAGGAAACCAGCCTACAGATTCACAAACAGAAGTCATTACCACCATATAAGTGAAAACCAAAAACCTCCCGGTTACTGTGGAACACGGTTTATTTGAGATGCGAAGCTGACAAGTCTGCCTTGCAGACCACCAGCCAGGAAACATTCTGCTTGAAAACCAAGCCTGTAAGCCTGCAATTCACTTTAGGGTTTAGCAGTTGGGTACCAGACACCCGAAGATCAACAGAGGAGCAACAACTCTGCTTTGGTCTCTGCACACTCTTAAGCAGCCCTTCCTGCAGGAAGTCTGTTTTCTCCCAGCAGTCTCACCACCAGCCCGGGCACCGGTTTTCACTGCAGGGATCTGGGTCAGCAGTAACAGAAAGTGTCTTGAACTGTGTACTGGGACCTCAGCACCACTTCTTCCAGTTTCACAGGCGGAGAGCAGAAGTTTCAACGTCTTGTTGCACAATGCAGTCACAGCATTATTTCAAACCACTGCTGAAGCGACAGCAGCACGACGGCTGCCTCTCCTAACAAGAGAAGACTCCCCACGATGACTTAAGCAAACACTGCAATTAGAAACATAGTCTCTTTACAGCGAATACAGCAGCAGGTGTTATAACTGTGATAATAGTTAGCTGAAGTTGAATGGCCTTCTGCTAAGGCTAAGTACAGAAACATCAACTGCTTGGACAAAGTGCCAAGCACAGCAAAACACATCCTTCACTGAAGTGTCGCTAAGACACGCGGATAAAGGTGGACGTTGCTGCTTAAACCAACAGAACAAGCCCTGAAGCCCGCCTGCTAACCTGCAGGCAGTGTGCCGGGCGCGGGGAGAGCCCGAGGGCACCGGGTGCTGAGAGCACAGCGGGCAGCGCCCGCCTCTCACCTCCTCCCTGGGGTTACGGCCAGGCAACATCGCGCCTCAGAGCGATGAGAAGGCGAGAGAGCTCCTCTCGCTCACGTAGCGTCTGTGGTCAAGCCAAACACAAACGAGGCCCAAGAAGTCTCCGAGTTCCGCGCGGGGGTCACGGCCACGAGGCCCGCCCGCTCCCCCTCGGGAAGCGCTGCCCGCCCGCCGCCCGCCCTCGCGGGGATGGCGGCCGCACTCACCGCTGGGGAACGGCTCCATCTTCCTCCCGGCTCCTCCGGCAGCCCCGACAGCAAAGCCCGGCGAAGGAGGAGACGAAAAGTCGCGGCCCTTCACTCGTCCTCCTCCAGCCGCCGCATGCTCCGCGCACGGCCACCGCGACTCCCCGCAGAGCAGCTCCTTTTGAAGAGCAGCGGAGCAGCCAAGAGCGCTTCCTGCCCGCGCGGCTCCGCCCGCTCCTCCCTCACGCAGCGCCTCTCCCCGCCCCGCCCGGGCCGCGGCCCTGAGCCCGCTGCAGACGCCGCCCCGCCGCGGCAAAAGCGGAACTGCTGGAGCCGTGCGCGGCCTCAGGGCCACGCAGAGCGGGGTGGCGGGCGCCCGGAGGTGGCTGGGCCTGCGCTCGGCGGCGGGCTGTTCACAGTGTCCCCGCTGCCCTGCTCGCCCCGCTCCCTTACTGATAAAGTACCACCTGGGTTTTTTTTGCTCCTGGAAGTGTTTGACCGTCAGCTTTTGGATGGGTGGGAGGAGAAGGAAACTGATTACTCCCTGAGAATTCCAAATTTAAAAGCCATCTGTTTTCCCCAAAAAATAAAAACTGAAGTCTGACCTTGTGTTTCCCATGATGCGTGCACCGCCTCAGGCCCTATTCCCACTGCCGTGCCTGTTGCCATTGCTCTGTAAACCTAAAATTGCACTTTTTCACACAAAATGACTTAGTTGTATTGACGCGCCTGCAGCATAAACTGCATCTTAGCTCTGTTTCATATTAGAACCATACGATGCTAGAATATCCTGAGTTAGAAGGCACCCACAGGAATCCCCAAACCCAACTCTTGGCTCCGCACAGCACCATGCAAAATATAAGTCCTATGTCTGAGAACAATATCCGGATGCTCCTTAAGCTCCAGCAGCTCAGGGCTGTGCCCACTGCCCTCTGCAGCCCATTTCATGCCCACCACCCTCTGGTGCAGACCCTTTCCCTGACTCCCAGCTCCCTCCCCTGGCACAGCTCCATGCCGTTCCCTCGGGCCCTGTGGCTGTCACAC